TCTCTCTCTCTCTCCTTCTTTCGTTCTCGTATAATGTCATGAGCCTCACTAATGGCCCAGAGGCCCATCAGTAGGAACAAAACAGATAAGGACCAAGGCATGAATTCACTCCAGTCAATTACCTGGAGTGCCAAGTTCGGGCGCTGTGTTCCTTTTATAGAGTAAACAAATGAATCCTGGATACACAGTCACCCCACGATGACGATGCAGAGAGAGATAATTATACATCACACAGATTAATATCAGCTAGCTATCTCAGACAGGAAATAGAAAGATCCTCTTCTTCAACATGAAGCCCCTAGATACGGTATTAGGCCTAATAAGTTATAGTTGACTCCTTATAAATGCAGTTCAGATAAGTGCATACTTTAAGTGCACCACAGTTTTCACAACAGTGTTCCAGTCATCCCAAAGTTGCTACTGGTAACCGCATGCTCTATTTAAATGCACAATATCACAACAATCTCAAGCTATTGCATTTATCAGTAATGGGCTGTAAATTTGTATTTGGTTTAAATCACTCTGTTCAAGACGGAGAGGCGCTTTATGCATTTACACAGACCGTTAAGGGTAGAGGACACCTTCCCTGGTCTTTCTGGATGCAATAAAATTATTATATTAGGATAATAAAGTGGATGCGTGCCAAGAGGTCCATGAGCCAAGCTGTCAGTGAGATATAAAGTATTAAAAGACCACAGAGGGGATGTGTGACATCTTGAACTGACATCTCAGAGTCGGAGTAAATCACACAGTAGTAGTATAATGATGTAAAAAGTTACAATGACTAAGGATCTTTCACTGTCAGTGTCTGCTCTGTTATGGATGATATAGGTTATGGATGATATAGGTTATGGATGTACTACTAGAATAAGAAAAGACTGTAGAATAAGGTGTTCAGATGTGGATTATTCTGGTTTGATTCAATTAATCCTTCATGAAAGAGAGAGCGCAATGGAAGAGAGAGGGAAAGAAAGAGAGACATTTGCGAAGAGAGAAAGAAATACAGCGCACGAGAGAGAGAGAGAGAGAGAGAGAGAGAGAGAGAGAGAGAGAGAGAGAGAGACCCATGCTACATTAACCACTTAAAAGGAAGCGATTCCCAAACCTTCCATAACAAAGCCATCACCTACAGAGAGATGAACTTGGAGAAGAGTCCCCTAAGTAAGCTTGTCCTGGGGCTCTGTTCACAAACACAAACAGACCCCACAGAGCCACAGGACAACAACAACAACAACACAACTAGACCCAACCAAATCATGAGAAAACAAAAAGAGAATTACTTGACACATTGGAAAGAACAAACAAAAAAACAGAGCAAACTAGAATGCTATTTGGCCCTAAACAGAGAGTACACAGTGGCAGAATACCTGACCACTGTGACTGACCCAAACTTAAGGAAAGCTTTGACTATGTACAGACTCAGTGAGCATAGCCTTGCTATTGAGAAAGGCCGCCGTAGGCAGACCTTGCTCTCAAGAGAAGACAGGCTATGTGCACACTGCCCACAAAATGAGGTGGAAACTGAGCTGCACTTCCTAACCTCCTGCCAAATGTATGACCATATTAGAGACACAAATTTCCCTCAGATTACAGCGATCCACAAAGAATTCGAAAACAAACCCAATTTTGATAAACTCCCTTATCTACTGGGTGAAAAACCACAGTGTGCCATCACAGCTGGCAAGATTTGGTGACCTGTTTGCCACAAAGAAAAGGGCAACCAGTGAAGAACAAACACCATTGTAAATACAACCCATATTTATGTTTATTTATTTTCCCATTTGTACTTTAACATTTGCACATTGTTACAAACCTGTATATATACATAATATGACATTTGAAATGTCTTTAATTTCTTTTGGAAACGTCTGAGTGTAATGTTTACTGTTAATATTTATTGTTTTATTTTCACTTTTTTTTTACTATCATACTTTCACTTGCGTTGGCAATGGTTAACGCACGTTTCCCATGGGGACCAATCAAAGCCCCTTGAATTGAATGAGAGAGAGCGAAGAGAGAGAGCAGAGAGAAGAGAGCTATAGATATATAGAGATAAGATATAGGAGATCAACGGATAGCAGAGAGGCGGAAGCGAGAGAGAGAGCTAGAAAGAGAGAGACTCTACTGCGCTACTCTCGCTCTAGCGCACGCTGGCTCGCTCTCTCTCTATCGACCTCGATTATCTCTATATCGCAGATATAGAGAGAGATAGATATACTAGCTATCAGCGACAGACGCCCGACAGCCAGACAGACAGACAGACATACAGACAGACAGACAGACAGACAGACCGACAGACAGACAGACAGACAGACAGACAGACAACAGACAGACAGACAGACGACAGACAGACAGACAGACAGACAGACAGACAGACAGACAGACAGACAGACAGACAGACAGACAGACAGACAGACAGACGAGAGTGAAGTGGAGAGATGATTGTGGAGTTATTTTATTTAAAGAGAGGGAGAGTTTTTAGTGTTTGTGTCCCTTTGTCAATCTTGACCTTGTTGTGGCTCTTTGTGTGTGTGTGTCTGTGTGTGTGTGTGTGTGTGTGTGTGTGTGTGTGTGTGTGATCTAGAGAGTTCTAAGTCCCTGCAGGGGGGGATGTACCAGACTTTGGTCAGCCAATCAATACTCAGTAAGCTACATCAGTAGGCTACCTCTGAGAAAGCCAACACAAAGGAACCTAGCTACTATTACACTGCTTTATCCTCTCTCACTAAACACCCGAGACATATCAGCTGTCAACGTTTTAACATTGCTTTGCCGTGTCATTACCAAGTTATAAGTGCAGAAATAAACTGAAGGATGTGTGTTGTTTCTCTCTCGCTCTCTCTCTCGCTCTCTCTCTCTCTCTCTCTCTCTCTCCTGTGTGACGGTGAGAGAGGGAGCGTTTTTGAGTGCGTATGTCCCCTTTCGATCTTGACCTTATTGTGGCCCTTTTGCACACAGTATGTGTGTGTGGCTGTGGGCGCGTGCGTGTGTGTGTGTGTACGTGTGTCTGTGACTGTGCAGTAGCACTGCATCCAAACAAATAGGTCTGGATTGCTAAATAGATGAATGCACAAACAGCCCAGTTTCAATTGACTGAGAGGAAGGCATTTGCTCTTTGAGTTATTAATGTGGTGATGCACCGGTGAGCATCTCATTGAGTCTGGATTAATATCCACACAGATAAATGATGAGACTGGAACACTTGGAAAGGAGATGGAAAAATGAATTAGTGAAGATGCTTATTAATGTATCAAATTATTATTATATATATATATATATATATTTTTTTTTTATACACTCAGCCCAATTTTCTAAATGAATACCTTTCATTGTGTTATGATAAAAAATGCCTTTGATAATGTCAGCATTTTCTTTTGTTTGGCTGTGTAATCAGTTATGTCTATTTTCAGACTTCAAAGGTTGCATTGTCTGTTGGTTTTTAGTATTGTTTATTACTTTACATCTCCCTGGTTTGGGTTTCTGATCAGGTTCTTCAGGGGAACATCTCTCTGGTTTGGGTTTCTGATTAGGTTCTTCATGGGAACATCTCCCTGGTTTGGGTTTCTGATTAGGTTCTTCAGGGGAACATCTCTCTGGTTTGGGTTTCTGATCAGGTTCTTCAGGGGAACATCTCTCTGGTTTGGGTTTCTGATTAGGTTCTTCAGGGGAACATCTCTCTGGTTTGGGTTTCTGATCAGGTTCTTCAGGGGAACATCTCTCTGGTTTGGGTTTCTGATTAGGTTCTTCAGGGGAACATCTCTCTGGTTTGGGTTTCTGATTAGGTTCTTCAGGGGAACATCCCCCTGGTTTGGGTTTCTGATTAGGTTCTTCAGGGGAACATCCCCCTGGTTTGGGTTTCTGATTAGGTTCTTCAGGGGAACATCTCCCTGGTTTGGGTTTCTGATCAAGTTCTTCAGGGGAACATCTCTCTGGTTTGGGTTTCTGATCAGGTTCTTCAGGGGAACATCTCTCTGGTTTGGGTTTCTGATTAGGTTCTTCAGGGGAACATCCCCCTGGTTTGGGTTTCTGATTAAGTTCTTCAGGGGAACATCTCCCTGGTTTGGGTTTCTGATCAAGTTCTTCAGGGGAACATCTCTCTGGTTTGGGTTTCTGATCAGGTTCTTCAGGGGAACATCCCCCTGGTTTGGTTTCTGATGAGGTTCTTCAGGGGAACATCTCCCTTGTTTGGGTTCCTGATCAGGTTCTTCAGGGGAACATCTCTCTGGTTTGGGCTTCTGATCAGGTCCTTCAGGGGAACATCTCCCTTGTTTGGGTTTCTGATCAGGTTCTTCAGGGGAACATCTCTCTGGTTTGGGCTTCTGATCAGGTCCTTCAGGGGAACATCTCTCTGGTTTGGGTTTCTGATCAGGTCCTTCAGGGGAACATCTCTCTGGTTTGGGTTTCTGGTCAGGTTCTTCAGGGGAACATCTCCCTGGTTTGGGTTTCTGAGCAGGTTCTTCAGGGGAACATCTCCCTGGTTTGGGTTTCTGATCAGGTTCTTCAGGGGAACATCTCTCTGGTTTGGGTTTCTGATCAGGTTCTTCAGGGGAACAGCATTCTGGTTTGGGTTTCTGATCAGATTCTTCAGGGGAACATCTCCATAGTTTGGGGTTCTTCTGATGGTGTTCTCATGATTCTGTTCTCCATGTGTTCTCCACAGATCTTCAGGAGGTGCTGGCTGGTGTTTAAGAAGGCGTCCAGTAAAGGCCCCAGACGTTTAGAGAAATACCAAGATGAGAAGGCAGCATACTTCAGAAGCTTTCACAAGGTAAACACTAAACATCACTTTATATACTGTCACTGTCTTTTACTGTGAAATATCCACCAATCCTCTCTTCCTTTCAGTTATACTGTATATATATATATATATATATATATATATATATATATATATATATATATATATATATATATATATATATACAGTACCTTGCAAAAGTATTCATCCCACTTGGCGTTTTTTCCTATTTTGTTGCATTACAACCTGTAATTTAAATTGATTTTTATTTGGATTTCATGTAATGGACATACACAAAATAGTCCAAATTGGTGAAGTGAAATGGAAAAAAATGAAAAAAAATAAATAACGGAAAAGTGGTGCATGCAAATATATTCACCCCCTTTGCTATGAAGCCCCTAAATAAGATCTAGTGCAACCAATTACCTTCAGAAGTCACATAATTAGTTAAATAAAGTCCACCTGTGTGCAATCTAAGTGTCACATGATCTGTCACATGATCTCAGTATATATACACCTGTTCTGAAAGGCCCTAGAGTCTGCAACACCACTAAGCAAGGGGCACCACCAAGCAAGCGGCACCATATAGACCAAGGAGCCCTCCAAACAGGTCAGGGACAAAGTGGTGGAGAAGTACAGATCAGGGTTGGGTTATAAAAAAATATCCACAACTTTGAACATCAAACGGAGCACCATTAAATCCATTATTAAAATTTTTTAAAGAATATAGCACCAAAACAAATCTGCCAAGAGAGGACCGCCCACCAAAACTCATGGACCAGGCAAGGAGGGCATTAATCAGAGAGGCAACAAAGAGACGAAAGATAACCCTGAAGGTTGGAGTATCTGTCCATAGGAACACATTAAGCCGTACACTCCACAGAGCTGGGCTTTACGGAAGAGTGGCCAGAAAAAAAGCCATTGCTTAAAGAAAAAAATTAGCAAACACATTTGGTGTTTGCCAAAAGGCATGTGGGTGACTCCCCAACCATATGGAAGAAGGTACTCTGGTCAAGTGAGACTAAAATTGAGCTTTTTGGCCATTAAGGAAAACGCTATGTCTGGCGCAAACACAACACCTCTCATCACCCCGAGAACACCATCCCCACAGTGAAGCATGGTGGTGGCAGCATCATGCTGTGGGGATGTTTTTCATCGGCAAGGACTGGGAAACTGGTCAGAATTGAAGGAATGATGGATGGCGCTAAATACGGGGAAATTCTTGAGGGAAACATGTTTCAGTCTTCCAGAGATTTGAGACTGGGACGGAGGTTCATCTTCCAGCAGGACAATGACCCTAAGCATACTGCTAAAGCAACATTCAAGTGGTTTAAGGGGAAACATTTAAATGTCTTGGAATGGCCTAGTCAAAGCCCAGACCTCAATCCAATTTAGAATCTGTGGTATGACTTAAAGTTTGCTGTACACCAGCGGAACCCATCCAACTTGAAGGAGCTGGAGCAGTTTTGCCTTGAAGAATGGGCAAAAATCCCAGTGGCTAGATGTGCCAAGCTTATAGAGACATACCCCAAGAGACTTGCAGCTATAATTGCTGCAAAAGGTGGCTCTACAAAGTATTGACTTTGGGGGGGTGAATAGTTATTCTTGTTTGTTTCACAAGAAAAAATATTTTGCATCTTCAAAGTGGTAGGCATGTTGTGTAAATCAAATGATACAAACCACCAAAAAATCAATTTTAATTCCAGGTTGTAAGGCAACAAAATAGGAAAAATGCCAAGGGGGGTGAATACTTTCGCAAGCCACTGTATATATATATATATATATATATATATATATATATATATATATATATATATATATGTATATATATATATATATATATATATATTCACCTCATTGGATGTCCAAATAATATGTTGTCTGGATATGAAGGGTACACTCAGTAGACAGATACGTTTTAGACGCAGCACCAGGCCAGACAGAAATTCATTTGTCTGAGTCTATTGACCCTTTTAACAGTATCGCCTCCCATCACAATTTAGCCACAACCTTAATGTTTACCCTATAACAAGCCCCAACCACCATTTTCCCTCAGACAATATCGCCAAGCACTTCTTTTATTACACATAAATCAGAAAAATCTTATTACACACAAACCGACCCCAAAAAATCATTTTATTTGTCTTTCATAAAAGTGTTTCACATGGGGTACAAATTGCTGTTAAGAATCCATTAAGGCACATTTGTCCGCTTTATCTCGTTCCTCCAGGGCCTTTCTCTTCCTTTGAGGAGGATAATCTGGAATATAATATATCTCTCCCCGCTTCTTAAGCCCTTTGAAAATACCCCAATTAGGCCTCATTATCAGTGGCGAGGATGATGTTAAGTGAGTTAAGTGGCTCTGCTGTAGTGATGGGAGGAGAGGAGATATAGCCTCAGATAGGGACTGGGAGGGACACCAGTGTTTAATGTGGCTGGGCTCTTGAATGTGTGGCTGTATTATGAGAGGGACCCTTTAATGCTTCATAACACGCTGTCTAATACACTATCATTAGTTATCAGACACTTCGCCACCTCATTAAGGGGTGGACTGACTGGAGGCCTATGCTGATTTGAGATACAGTGGGGAAAGAAAGTATTTAGTCAGCCACCAATTGTGCAAGTTCTCCTACTTAAAAAGATGAGAGAGGCCTATAATTTTCATCATAGGTACACGTCAACTATGACAGACAAATTGAGAAAATATTTTCCAGAAAATCACATTGTAGGATTTTTAATGAATTTATTTGCAAATTATGGTGGAAAATAAGTATTTGGTCACCTACCAACAAGCAAGATTTCTGGCTCTCACAGACCTGTAACTTCTTCTTTAAGAGGCTCCTCTGTCCTCCACTCGTTACCTGTATTAATGGCACCTGTTTGAACTTGTTATCAGTATAAAAGACACCTGTCCACAACCTCAAACAGTCACACTCCAAACTCCACTATGGCCAAGACCAAAGAGCTGTCAAAGGACACCAGAAACAAAATTGTAGACCTGCACCAGGCTGGGAAGACTGAATCTGCAATAGGTAAGCAGCTTGGTTTGAAGAAATCAACTGTGGGAGCAATTATTAGGAAATGGACGACATACAAGACCACTGATAATCTCCCTAGATCTGGGGCTCCACGCAAGATCTCACCCCGTGGGGTCAAAATGATCACAAGAACGGTGAGCAAAAATCCCAGAACCACACAGGGGGACCTAGTGAATGACCTGCAGAGAGCTGGGACCAAAGTAACAAAGCCTACCAGCAGTAACACACTACGCCGGCAGGGACTCAAATCCTGCAGTGCCAGACGTGTCCCCCTGCTTAAGCCAGTACATGTCCAGGCCCGTCTGAAGTTAGAGTGCATTTGGATGATCCAGAAGAGGATTGGGAGAATGTCATATGGTCAGATGAAACCAAAATATAACTTTTTGGTAAAAACTCAACTCGTTGTGTTTGGAGGACAAAGAATGCTGAGTTGCATCCAAAGAACACCATACCTACTGTGAAGCATGGGGGTGGAAACATCATGCTTTGGGGCTGTTTTTCTGCAAAGGGACCAGGACGACTGATCCGTGTAAAGGAAATAATGAATGGGGCCATGTATCGTGAGATTTTGAGTGAAAACCTCCTTCCATCAGCAAGGGCATTGAAGATGAAACGTGGCTGGGTCTTTCAGCATGACAATGATCCCAAACACACCGCCAGGCAACGAAGGAGTGGCTTTGTAAGAAGCATTTCAAGGTCCTGGAGTGGCCTAGCCAGTCTCCAGATCTCAACCCCATAGAAAATCTTTGGAGGGAGTTGAAAGTCTGTGTTTCCCAGTGACAGCCCCAAAACATCACTGCTCTAGAGGAGATATGCATAGAGGAATGGGCCAAAATACCAGCAACAGTGTGTGAAAACCTTGTGAAGACTTACAGAAAACGTTTGACCTGTGTCATTGCCAACAAAGGGTATATAACAAAGTATTGAGAAACTTGTGTTATTGACCAAATACTTATTTTCCACCATAATTTGCAAATAAATTCATTTAAAATCCTACAATGTGATTTTCTGGATTTTTTTTTCTCATTTTGTCTGTCATAGTTGACGTGTACCTATGATGAAAATTACAGGCCTCTCTCATATTTTTAAGTGGGAGAACTTGCATAATTGGTGGCTGACTAAATACTTTTTTTCCCCACTGTAGCTATGTAACTTTTTCTACTACATCATACCATCAAATTGAAACGCCTGTGTAGTGTTAACCTCTCCTATAGAGGTCTGCTACCAACAGCAGATTGAATGATGACAGAACACATGCACCAGTGCACCTGATAATGTTTCCCCATAGTGCTCCCCAGTGCACCTGAAAATGCTTCCCTAGAATCTCCACACATATTAGGAAAGGTTCCATCTGAGGTGTTCCAGAACAATTCTGCAGAGAAAACAACAACAGTGGATTTGCTTTTGTGTTTTGAAGGGTGCTGCGTGGTCTATACTCCCAGTCGGTATTAGATAGAACGTCGCAGCCCCGCCCGCCTGTCTGGAAAACAACCTATGGTTACCTAAGTTACCCTATTGGCTCACAGCAAAAACGTGACCTTTTTCAAAGCAATTTTCTTGTTGTCTGCTTGTTTTAGTAAATTACAAAACTACATTTAAGAAAAGTATAACATGTCTAAAGATAACTTTTCAACATTGCTTGCTCCAGAGCGTTCTCACTACATATAACATTTTTATATTGTAGGGCTTCACAACGACACAAACAGACTATACTAAACAAGTTAAATGTCTTATATGTGATGAAATGTTTTCCACACACATAGCCGACTTGGACACCGGGTCCCCACATTTCCCACTCTCCCACGCCGAATAGACTGTAGCTACAGGTCTCTTCTCGCAGGCTCTATTTCCCTACGTAGGAGTATTGCGAACTGTAGGTTGAACAACACAGCAGTTTTTCGCCATGTTTTGTTATTTCTGTATAACCAAAAATTAACGACAAAGTTGGCTCTTTTACACTGGGTGTCAATGGGAAATAATGTTTTTTTCCCCCCAATTTGTGTGCGTGGTCGAGGGGAATTCCTTATTATTATATGAATATTGATTCGGAGTATACAACTGAATAATTATCTAAATATTTTCAGCAGGACCCACTCCCTGTCTCCCTTGTTTACTATTTTGGCTGCCTCTCTATGTCAAGAGCTCTTGACAAAGGCATTTGCAGCCATAAAATGCCACCAATGGTTTGGTTCATAAAGTTTAAATAAATAAGCAGTAAACCGTAGGGAAGTAACTTTTAGAGAGTTTATGCCTTTAGGCTATATTCTTGACAACAGCTTTGTGGCTGTGTTCTGAGAGGAAAGAAGAGAAGATGATCGAAGAGGAGAGGAGAGGAGAGGAGAGGAGAGGAGAGGAGAGGAGAAGAGAGGAGAGGAGAGGAGAGGAGAGGAGAGGAGAGGAGAGGAGAGGAGAGGAGAGGAGAGGAGAGGAGAGGAGAGGAGAGGAGAGGAGAGGAGAGGAGAGGAGAGGAGAGGCTGGCTAACCACACAGAGCCCAGCTAGCTCTAGTGCTGATGTGGTCTTGGCTGCCAGTTCTGTGTTATAATTGTGTTTCTGGGGGAAGATAGGAACCATATTCACTTCATATTCACTTCCTCACATCAGCAATGCAAACAGATGGTAGCGATGCTATTTTCTGGATATTGAATACTGAGGGTAATGGTATTCAATACAGTTTTGTACAACCTCATCATCACAATGCCTTGTGATGCAGTTTCACAACAGTCTTGAACAGACAATGCTGTTCATGGAACATGGAATTTATTTCACTAGCAATAATCATATCAAACATAGAAACCTTCAATCTTCATGTGGTATGTTAGTATGGCTCGTGGCACTGAGCTCTAACAGTCAGGTTTTTACTATATGGGCAACACACGAACGCTGGCACGCACACACACACACACACACACACACATTTTACTACAGTATATGGGCAGTGAGCCCACCTAATACATTCCCACCAGGCTGGCATTGTGCCCACGGTTGGCTCTGAGCGAGTACTCTACAATAATGTAATGGCTCTTATCTGTCCAGCAGCGAACAGAGAGCGGATTGTTGAATAAAACAGCCCTATAAATGCACAAGATATTCAATTAAATGACTGTTAACTCCCAGAGTTAACATGATTTAGGAGCTTTTGATTCTCCTCCTGAGTATTGATTGGATCTTTAGTGGTCGTTTGCAAAGTGAAGCAGTTTCACCGATGGCTCTTGTTGTTTTTTTAGTTAGAGCCAGACCAACGGATGTCTAAACTCTCATTTAGGAGACTGAGTTGGCAATAATGTATATGACAAGCTTGTTAATCCATTACACAATATAAATGGTCTTCTTCACAATAAATTAAACAATAGAAGTGGTAATGAGTTGCATTCATATAGCTCCTTTCAACAGGTCTCACAGAGCTTATGAGATATGAATATTGTGTAAATAAATATGATAAAATTACATTTTGTTTTGCAATTATGCGTGTATAGAACATCACCAACAGTCATTTAAGATGATAAACTATCAGTTAAGGGAGCAAGTCGAACAACCAATTTATCTCTAAAACTTGGCTTTAATTTCTGGATCTCGTTATGTTTTATTTGGAAGCTAACATAACTAGACGATGTGTTCCCTTGTCCTCTCGGCTGTCGTCTTGTTGATTTGGCTAATGTTTTGTTGTTCTGTTTCTCTTAGATCACGGAGCTTCACAATATCAAGAACATTACACGGATGCCGCCGGAGACCAAGAAACACGCAATGGCAATCATCTTCTACGACGAGACTTCCAAGACATTTGCCTGTGAGTCAGGTAAGCAATGCAACACTGGGGAATGGAGGGAGGGAAGGAGGGAGGGAAGGAGGGAGGGAGGGGGGATGATGAGTATGGGGGAGAGAGAGGGAGAAAGCAATAGAAGAGAGAAAAGAACAGATAATAATAATATAATATAACATGCCATTTAGCAGACGCTTTTATCCAAAGCGACTTACATTCATGCGTGCATACATTTTTGTGTATGGGTGGTCCCGGGGATCGAACCCACTACCCTGGCGTTACAAGCGCCGTGCTCTACCAGCTGAGCTACAGGGGAAGGATAGAGAGTGAGAGAGAAAGACAATTGAGTACTGAAGGTGTTCCAAGCACCAGGCATGTGATTCTGTACTGTATTAACTAAGAAAGGTGTGTGTGTGTGTGTGTGGGTTTGTGGGGAGGGGTACTTGGGTATTATATATATATGGTTGCATCCCTCTGGATCCTAGTAGAGCAGAATGCTGTGATCTGATAGGTTGTAATGAATTCTGCTGCAGGAACTGGCTGAGTTAATAGTGTTAAGAGTCTTTATAGAGAACTAAAGAGAAACACAGAGAGATAAAGGAGGATGGATATTGGATTCATAGTGATAAAGGGATGGGGAGGGAAAGAGTGAGAGAGAATGATTGGGAAGAGTGAATGATAGTGATATGGATAGTGATAGGGAGAGAGAGAGGGAGAGAGAGAGACAGTGGGGATGAGAGAGAAATAGAGTGAGCAGTGGTCCTGCAGAGATATCATTAGCACCTCTCCATCCTCTCCTTTCCTCTCCTTTCCTCTCCTTTCCTCTCCTTTCCTCTCCTTTCCTCTCCTTTCCTCTCCTTTCCTCTCCAATCCTGTAATGTCACAAACAGAGAAGTAAACAGTAGTTAATTGCGCACTGGGTGGAAGAGACATACACAAACAAACAAGGACAGTGATCTGCTGTAGACAGGTTGCAGAGGATTTTAGTATGTGTGAGTGTGTGAGTGTGTGAGTGTGTGTGTGTGTGTGTGTGTGTGTGTGTGTGTGTGTGTGTGTGTGTGTGTGTGTGTGTGTGTGTGTGTGTGTGTGTGTGTGTGTGTGTGTGTGTGTGTGTGTGTGTGTGTGTTAAGGTGCTGATGTGCTGATGTGAGCTGTAGCAGTGGATCTCAGGGGAGAGATTATGTGGCTTATGGGGTGCAGTGAACTCTATCTCCACTCTCTCCCCATTCTCTCTCTCTCTCTCTCTCTCAATTCAATTCAATTCAATTTAAGGGCTTTATTGGCATGGGAAACATATCTTAACATTGCCAAAGCACGTGAAGTAGATAGTAAACAAAAGTGAAATAAACAATAAATATTAACAGTAAACATTAAACTCAGAAGTTCCAAAAGAATAAAGACATTTCAAATGAAATGGAGAAACTTATTCAAGAAATATCAAGTGTAATATATTATAAAAATAAAGCAAACTGGATGGAATATGGGGGAAAATGCACCAAATTATTTTTTAATCTTCAACATAGGAATGCTACCAAAAATAACTTAATGAAACTGGTTACAATTGACGGAGTCACCCATGATTCACCAAATTATATTTTGAAGGAGGAAACAAAGTACTTTAAGCATATGTTTTCTTTTCAGTCGCCTCCATCTCCTCTAACTGAAGCTAATTGTATGGATTTTTTTCTATTGATAATGTAAAATTAACAGCCATACAGAAAGACTAATGTGAAGGTGAAATTACAGAGGAGGAACTTCTGGATGCAATTAAAGACTTTAAGTCCGGAAAAACTCCAGGTTTGGATGGCATACCAGTCGAGGTATACCAAACCTTTTTTGATATACTAAGAGGACCGTTATTAGCATGTTTTAACCACTCCTATGTAAATAGAGGATTATCTGACACTCAAGAAGAAGGTCTGATCTCATTATTACTGAAACAGGATACAAGTGGAAAATATAAAGATCCAGTCCATTTAAAAAATTGGAGGCCCCTTACACTTCAGTGTTGTGATGCAAAAATTCTAGCAAAATGTATAGCGCATAGAATTAAAAATGTAGTTTACCAATAAAATGGTCTGATGGTGATGTGAAAATACTCTGAATACATATCCCAAAGGAAATAAATGATCTCACTTCAATACATTTTAATAGAAAGTTAGCAAAAATAGACAAGATCTTGCTACCATGGAAAGGTAAATACCTGTCCATTTGTGGAAAAATCACCCTGATTAACTCTTTAGTATTATCCCAGTTTACCTATTTGCTTATGGTCTTGCCTATATTCAATATGCCATATTATTTGGAACAGCAAGCCAGACAAAATTAAAAGGGCCTATTTATATAATGAATATGAATTCGGAGGACAGAAATGATTAAATATTAAAGCATTAGACCTATCACTAAAAGCTTCAGTCATACAAAAGTTATACTTAAATCCGAACTGGTTCTCAAGCAAATTAGTAAGATTGTCTCACCCAATGTTCAAGAAAGGCCTTTTTTCCCTTTATTCAGATTACAACCACTCATTTTCAGTTATTTGAAAAGGAAATAATCTCCCAAATATCACTATTTCTAAAACAAGCCATAGAAAGTTGGTTGCAATTTCAATTTAATTCTCCAGAAATGACAGAACAAATAATGCAACAAATATTGTGGTTAAATTCAAATATACTAATTGACAAAAAACCTTTATTTTTTGACAGAATGTTTAAAAAAAGGTATAATGTTCGTAAATGATATCATTGGTAGAACTGGTGGAGTTATGTCGCACATGCAGCTAACAAAAACATATGGAAATGTCTGCTCTACCCAAAATTACAACCAAATAATTACAGCCTTACCGCAAAAGTGGAAGAGGAAAGTGGAAGGGGGAGAAAGTAAGGAACTTGTCTGTCGGCCTTGCATTAAAGAACAGAATTGGTTAAGGAAAACTGTGATAAATAAAAAAGTATATCAGCTTCACTTAAGGACCAAAGGATTGACAGCCGTCCCATATAGATTGCAAAATAGTTGGGAAGAGATTTTTGACGTACCAATCCCATGGCATAGTGTTTATGAACTGACACGCAAAACGACACCGGATTCAAAAATTAGAATCCTTCAATTTAAATTATTATATAAAATTCTTGCTACCAATAGAATGTTATTTATATGGGGGATACAATCTTCCCAGCTCTGCAGATTTTGCTGTGAAGAGACAGAATCATTAGATCATTTGTTATGGTTCTGTCCATTTGTAGCTTGTTTTTGGACACAGGTCCAGGAATGGCTAAAGGATTGCAATATTTACCTGGAGCTAACCTTGCAGATAGCATTACTGGGTGATCTGAAAAGTCATAGTCAATCGATCAATAATATAATAATACTTTTAGCCAAAATGTTTATTTTTAATTCACAATCTGTAGAAGCAATGAGAATAGAAAGGTTCAGAACTTTTGTAAAACATCACAGTACGGTTGAAATACATATGGCAAATAATCCTATATGGATGGTGTTAAGAGATAGATGGGAGGTATTGAATGGAGTTGAAGGATGGGACTAATAACAACAAATAATAACAAGATAACTAATAATGTAAGCATACTGTGTCCATAATAAGTATATAGGTTGTATGTTGGGAGCTTTTGGGAAAGAGCACAGTTAGAAAGATATGACTTATAGAAGCAAACCGGATGGACATCATGAAAATGATCGGAGAGGTTGAGAGTAGAAGAAGTTCAGGAGCAAAAACAAATAAAATAGAATGATTGTAAAATTGACTGTGTCCATAAGGTGTAGATAGTAAGTATAGGCTGGAAGTAGAGGCCTGGGCATTGTTGTTCACTAATTTACCCCAAGTAGGGAAAGGATGGCAGGGTTGAAAAGTAATAAAGGGGAGTATATATATAAAAAACATGGAGGATTGGAAGTGATGCAGACAATTACATTGATGGAAGTTACAATCTATCTGCAATATTAAGCTGATCTACCCCCCCCAAAAAATAATAATAATAATATAAGACATTTCAAATGTCATATTATATATAAATATACAGTGTTATAACAATGTGCAAATAGTTAAAGTACAAATGGGAAAATAAATAAACATAAATATGGGTTGAATTTACAATGGTGTTTGTTCTTCACTGGTTGCCCTTTTCTTGTGGCAACAGGTCACACATCTTGCTGCTGTGATGGCACACTGTGGTTTTTCACCCAGTAGGTAAGGGAGTTTATCAAAATGGGGTTTGTTTTCAAATTCTTTGTGGATCTCTGTAATCTGAGGGAAATATGTGTCTCTAATATGGTCATACATCTGTCTCTCTCTCTCTCTCTCTCTCTCTCTCTCTCTCTCTCTCTCTCTCTCTCTCTCTCTCTCTCTCTCTCTCTCTCTCACACACACACACACACACACACATGCACGCACACATGCACAAGAGCCCTCACACAAACACACACACTGCTCACAGTTACACTGCTGACCCCTCCCCCTTCCCAGAGTCCCTTGCCATATGGAGTGCTGTGTCCCCCGTGTCCAACACATGGTCCTTCACTTCCTACTCTCAATCACACACATGCACACTAGGGCTGGGCGGTAAACCGCAATTTAGTACATACGGACCAGTTTGGATTTTTACTTTACCTTACATAACAGTATATCAATGTTTGGTTTATTAAATGTAATATAAATGTAATAACTGAGTGATGAAACTTGAAAAATGATGTAAATCATCTGTTCTTGCTGCCAGTAAGAGACTGCTAACAGTTGAGAACTGATAATTTGCTAGCAAGAGCTTTGGCTACGCACTTTTTGCCATCAATGTTGCCTGTGAGGCAGTGCGGGTGCCAAAAGCACCTTAGAAATCGGCACAACGTCCCATGTGGCGAAAGTAAGAACTGCCATTGAATCCATTGAAAATACATGGTCACTAACAAGGTTCCATCCAATGTTTTTATGCGAGTAAAGTAAATGTTGGATAAAAAATGTGATGACAGGCCTGATGGAAACCAAAAATGTGTCATTAAACTTTCCAAATGCCGACAAAACTAAATACGCTATACAAGGTGGGATCTTTTTGTGTCTGTAAAATGTATAATGTCAGTGGAAACGCTTATGCGTAAATATTGATATAATAACCAATCATATGGGAGTAAACTTGGAGTCACACGATGTTGTGTGGTCCTCCCACTACGACTCTGGAAACCATGCAGTTTATTAGGCTACAAATTAAAGAAGTTATGATGAACTTCACATGGTGGTGAAAGTGCAAGGTGATGAGCTTGATGCTCCTTTCCAATAAATATCGAGGGACTTGCACATGAGGAGGTACTTAAAGGGTACTCCGGACAGAGCAGAATTCAGTTGGTGGTACAGTAACCGATAAAGGTTGGGAACCACTGATGTAGGCTATACCCGCACTGTATCTGCCAGCTGTTGGCTAGAGCGCACGTGCCAATACCAGAGTGGGCACATTTGCAACATTTTTTGTGAGAAAACCATCAGTAGAGTTGAAAATGCGATGGAAACCCATTGAACTTGTATTTTTTATTCGGTACATGGGAATTTAACCACAAAATATATTTTTATGTGCAGCTATGTCATCACGCACAGCCTTTTATCAGAAACAAGTCAATTTGATGGAAGCACATCTCTGGTGGGAAAATGTGCATATTGTTTTTATAAAGATTTTAGAATAATTGCATAAAAGTCTGTCTCTATTGGATGGAAACCTAGTTATAGAGAAGAATAACTAGTCTGATAAAGAAAAACTTAACTTTTTCACAAAATAGAGACATACAAAGACAAAACAAATGTTTGATGTGGTAATGAAAACTAATGAGTGACTGAAATGCAGAAATGTATGCAGAAAATTATTTTGATTGAACAGTATAAAACAATCAGAAGAGAGAAAGCCCCATTAAAACCACTTAGAAGGTATTTGTTACCACCCTAAGGTCACTACTCATGAAGCATATTTGCAGCTTTTATTATAAAAAAAAAGATAAAATATTGTCAAATACCTTCATAAATGACAAAAATATCATGATATGATATTTTGGCCATGTCGGCCAGCCCTAACGCACGCACACACTTTCTCTATCTCTCTCCCATGTCCACCCCATGCAGGAGGCTGCCCTCCCAGGGTCCTTCACTTCCTGTGCTCTCTCTGTGGTACTGTGCCAGTGTCAGCCTCTCTTCTCTCTCGATCCCTCTTGCTCCTTCTCACTGCTAGTTTTTTTTTTACTGATGTCTAGCTCTCTAATCTCTTCCACTCTTTCCTTCTCTCTCTCTCTCTCTCTCTCTCTCTCTCTCTCTCTCTCTCTCTCCTCTCTTCTCTCTCTCTCTCTCTCTATCTCTCTCTCTCTCTTCTCTCTCCTCTCTCCTCTCTCTCTCTCTCTCTCTCTCTCTCTCTCATCTCTCTCTCTCTCTCTCCTCCTCTCTCTCTCTCTCTCTTTCCCTCTCCCCTCCCTCTCATTTTCCTCCCTCTCCCTCTCTCTCCCTATGTGTTGTCCAGGCTGCCTCTCGGATAAAGTGTTTCGTTATGTGATTTTCCACTCGGCAGTGTGTGAGTTTAGACTTCAGACACACTCAGAGGACACAGGCTCAGCAAGGGAGCTCTTAAGGTTCCTTGGAGAACTCTTGTCGGATAAAGAAACTTTGAGTTAAGTGTGGGGTTTTTGACGTGGCATCTACAGTTCTTCAGAATTCTAAAAGGTTCTTGAAATGTCTATAGAAGCCTGCAGATGTGTCCCTTTAATAGCACACAGCAAATTGGCCAGTGTTAACTAGTGTTGATTCAAGAGTTAAATTAACAGTATAAAGAGTTAAATTAACACTCAGTGGTGTAAAAGAACCTCAGTGTTGGTGTCAATAACCAGAGTTGAACCAAAACCACGGCCATCATTATCATATATTCCAGCATGCTCTATTGCAGGTGGATTTTTAGAATTGTTTGTTTCAATATCTATGTTTTTGCATGAACATTTATTTATTAATTAATCTTATGCTACTCAAATATAAATAACAGACATTTTTCTAAACTATTCCAATCTGTTACTTGGATTAATTGCACCCATTAATGAAATGTTTGTTCCAGCATAGATGTTTAAGGTAGTCTTATATCGTAGTCTTCCCAACCATTCTAAATGCAGGTTGCAGGTGAATAAAAATTCAAAATGTTGGATATCCCCAATCTGGCTGGATTCCAATAGGAATTGCACATCACTTTGCAAGCCAGCATAATGTGACCTTCAGGCCACTGCATTAGGGTAAAACTAGGCCATATTGGTGAAGGCCACGGAACTGAAAATGAATGAATGCAACAATCATGTCTCTGTCACTAGCAAACACAGTCATGGGTGGTACAAGTAACTCTAAAATTAACTCGAAAGGCACCCTGGGAAATATGCAAATAAGGCTTAAAACCCTACAACAAGCCCTTCAATTCCGGTCCTGGAAGGCTGAAACATTTCTGGTTTGGGATTTTTATATGGTTCTTCAAAGAACCATCCATTTATGGTTCTTCAGAGACCCTAAAATGGTTCCCCTATGGCATCACTCTCAATAACCTTATTTGGTTCCAACTTGCACCTTTATTTTTAAGAGTGTACAAACACACACACACACACACACACAGTGCCATGTCCTGGAGCTCCTTTGGGAAGAGACCAGGGAGAAGTAGACAACACACAGATAAACAACTCAGTCTGACTCTCATTTCATAGCTCAGTAACTCTCATCCACACTCTACAATCTGGAGACTTACTTTCCATTGTAAACAGAGCTTTTTCCATCTTTAGAGGAAGACATTGGTATTCACCAACAACTGTCTATCTGTTTGCTGTGTGAGGGAGTGAGAATTTGAATCATGAAACCATCAGCCTCCACTTAGTGGTTAATTAAACAATTCAATCTTATAACACCCCTCCTCTTCTCTCACCACTACCAAGAGTGCCAGAGTTTAGCTTTTCGAGACTCGTGCACACGGCAGCGTATTTGTGTGTGTTCATGTTCCTGTTCCTGTTTGTGTGTGCATGGATGCCTCAGAGCGAGATAAGGTGTGTGTAACTGATGAAGAGAGTAGAGATATTATCGACGTGTATGGGTTTGATTAAAAGATTGTCACTGTTGCTCCGAGATAATTATTTTCGGTTGCATTCACACAATTTCCTTAGAGATCAATCCTGTTAATTGTTTGTTACACCCAGGCTTCCCGTCAATTAATTATATCACCCTATTGGGATAATAAGCTATTGATTTTCTGGTGTTAAGAACATCCCCCTGTGTTCTGCTTGTTGATCAAATCTATCCATGAAAAAATGCTGTATGGCCTGATCCCAGATCTGTACTGGATGTGCTTTACAAGACGTGATGGCTGGGTATATCAGAGATCTGGTGGTCAAGTGCTGTAGGAGTAAAGTATAGGAGAGAGGGGAGAGAGGGAAGAGAGAGAGGGTGAGGGAGGGGAGTGTTGAGAGTGGTCAGAGGGGAGAAAGGGGAAACGGGAAGAAAGATGGGATAGGAGAGGAGAGAGAGGAAATTCAGCATTCATCTAGTGTTTTGTGTTCATGAACTGCTTGCCTCTTTTCATCAGCTGAGAATCAATCAGATTGATTTTCTCCAGGTTACCGTTACCTGGTGCTCACGTCTGGGGGCTTTTTTTGGTCCACAGTGCATGCTGTATGATTCATCTGTGTTTTTGTGTGTGTACTTTTCTAACTTTGTGTGAGCTGGATGTGGAGGAGTGTTGTAAGCTGCGTTGTGTGGAGTGTGTATTTCTGTGTGAGTGTGTTTAACTCTTGTTTTAACTCTGTGTTTAGAGCTGGATGCAGAGGAGTGGTGCAAGCTGCTGTGTGTGGAGTGTCTAGGAAGCCGACTGAACGACATAAGCCTGGGAGAACCAGACCTGTTAGCAGCGGGGGTGCAGCGGGAGCAGAGCGGTGAGTCCCCAATTAGAACCGCAGCTAATGGAGGCCATTTTGGGTCAATCCTGCCCCAAACTGGTTAGCAGTTACATTACAGGCCTATATGTGTGAGTGCAACTGAATTCTCAGAGGTTTGTGAGAGGGAAACGGTGAGTCCCCAATTAGTCCCTGTCAACAGAGACCATTTTGGGTCGATATTTCCTATCCAACCAGCCCAGCACTTGTAGTCGGTTTCATTACCAGCCCAGAAGTGTTAGTGCAACAGAGGTCTGTGTGTGTCTTAATGTGCGTCTTTATCTGTGTGTGTGTGTGTGTGTGTGTGACTGTGTTCTTGGCCTAATGAGAGGTGCTGTGCATCACTGGCTCCCCTCATAATGAAGCTTGTCACAAAGATGGATGAGATTATATCTGCTGGGGCTGAGGCCATGTGAAATCACTGTACTTCCCCGCACATTCCCCCCATCCAGGAAATAGAAAGAGAGAAATAGGAAGAAAAAAATAGGAAAGGTATAGCTGTTATTAAATGGGTGATTTTCTATTCATTTGTAGACTAGCTATGGAAATGACTGCTGTGTGTGTGTGTGTGTGTGTGTGTGTGTGTGTGTGTGTGTGTGAATGTGTGTTTGTGTGTGTGTGTGTGTGTGTGTGTCTGTGTGTGTGTGTGTGTGTGTGTGTGTGTGTGTGTGTGTGTGTGTGTGTGTGTGTGTGTGTGTGTGTGTGTGTGTGTGTGAATTTTATAGACTGGCTTTGGAAATGAAAGAATAAAAAAACTGTTCAGAATGGTAAAGAGGGAGTGAAATTGAAAAGAATCTGGCCCAAGGTTTAATTTTACTCCCCTAACAACCTCTTACAGGATGCCTACAATTGCATTTATGCATAACTTTGTGCTCTGCCCTCGTTTGAAAAAATCTATATGAATCCGTCTTTGAATGTGAAGAGTCTGAGCAGCCCATCTAGTTCAATGAACAATAATAACATTTATTTTCTCTCCCTCAGCTTCGATGTAAGATGACAGGGAAATATTGATTTGTATTCATAACATCGAAGTGGTGCAGCGTGTGAAGAAAGAAAGAAAGAAAGCGAAATAACAACAGAAATAGAACGCTAAACACTTGTGCTTGCCTCGGCAACACATATACTAAAATGGGAGAAAGCTCCACCCTCTGCAGTTAGACTTCAATTAGTGATCTCCCAACTACAGGGGCTGATAATTAAATCAAAGTTCATTTTCTCGCTGCTCCTAAAAATAGCCTCATCATATTACATTGCCATTTCATCAGTCCTCACTCCAGACTCATGGCTGTTCTTTTGAAACATTAGGCATAATTAGTGAGTATTAATGTAGATTATGAAGAGCTCTCTGAGATCTGGTTAAAGTGATTGGGTCTGAGGAGCTCTCTAGTAGGGACTCCAGCTGGTTAAAGTGATTGGGGCTGAGGAGGTCTCTAGAAGGGACTCCAGCTGGTTAAAGTGATTGGGGCTGAGGAGGTCTCTAGTAGGGACTCCACCTGGTTAAAGTGATTTGGGCTGAGGAGGTCTGGTCTCTAGTAGGGACTCCAGCTGGTTAAAGTGATTGGGGCTGAGGAGGTCTGGTCTCTAGTAGGGACTCCAGCTGGTTAAAGTGATTGGGGCTGAGGAGCTCTCTAGTAGGGACTCCAGCTAGTTAAAGTGATTGGGGTTGAGGAGGTCTGGTCTCTAGTAGGGACTCCAGTTGGTTAAAGTGATTGGGGCTGAGGAGGTCTCTAGTAGGGACTCCACCTGGTTAAAGTGATTGGGGTTGAGGAGGTCTGGTCTCTAGTAGGGACTCCAGCTGGTTAAAGTGATTGGGGCTGAGGAGCTCTCTAGTAGGGACTCCAGTTGGTTAAAGTGATTGGGGCTGAGGAGGTCTCTAGTAGGGACTCCAGCTGGTTAAAGTGATTTGGGCTGAGGAGGTCTGGTCTCTAGTAGGGACTCCAGCTGGTTAAAGTGATTGGGGCTGAGGAGGTCTCTAGTAGGGACTCCAGCTAGTTAAAGTGATTGGGGCTGAGGAGGTCTCTAGTAGGGACTCCAGCTGGTTAAAGTGATTTGGGCTGAGGAGGTCTCTAGTAGGGACTCCACCTGGTTAAAGTGATTGGGGCTGAGGAGGTCTCTAGTAGGGACTCCACCTGGTTAAAGTGATTGGGGCTGAGGAGCTCTCTAGTAGGGACTCCAGCTAGTTAAAGTGATTGGGGCTGAGGAGGTCTCTAGTAGGGACTCCACCTGGTTAAAGTGATTGGGGTTGAGGAGGTCTGGTCTCTAGTAGGGACTCCAGCTGGTTAAAGTGATTGGGGCTGAGGAGCTCTCTAGTAGGGACTCCAGTTGGTTAAAGTGATTGGGGCTGAGGAGGTCTCTAGTAGGGACTCCAGTTGGTTAAAGTGATTGGGGCTGAGGAGGTCTCTAGTAGGGACTCCAGCTGGTTAAAGTGATTGGGGCTGAGGAGCTCTCTAGTAGGGACTCCAGTTGGTTAAAGTGATTGGGGCTGAGGAGGTCTCTAGTAGGGACTCCAGTTGGTTAAAGTGATTGGGGCTGAGGAGGTCTCTAGTAGGGACTCCAGCTGGTTAAAGTGATTTGGGCTGAGGAGGTCTGGTCTCTAGTAGGGACTCCAGCTGGTTAAAGTGATTGGGGCTGAGGAGGTCTCTAGTAGGGACTCCAGCTAGTTAAAGTGATTGGGGCTGAGGAGGTCTCTAGTAGGGACTCCAGATGGTTAAAGTGATTGGGGCTGAGGAGGTCTCTAGTAGGGACTCCAGCTGATTAAAGTGATTGGGGCTGAGGATGTCTCTAGTAGGGACTGGATCTGGTTGGCTGGCTTGTAAAACTATGACAATGGCGTGGGGTGCATCTCAATAGTCTAAAGTGGCTTCCTCTCCTTGTCTGCTTTCCTTCACCTGAACTGATAGAGAAAACAGGTGAAATAAATATGATGGATGAGTAATAAGGGAGATTTGTTACAGTACCACCTGTCCAGTTGGAGTAGGTTTAGATGAAGCTACAGGACCACCTGCCCAGTTGGAGACAGTTTAGATAAAGCTACAGTACCACCTGTCCAGTTGTAATCAATTTAGATAAAGCTACAGTGCCACCTGTCCAGTTGGAGTCAGTTTAGATAAAGCTACAGTACCACCTGTCCAGTTGTAATCAATTTAGATAAAGCTACAGTACCACATGTCCAGTTGGAGTCAGTTTAGATAAAGCTACAGTACCACCTGTCCAGTTGGAGCCAGTTTAGATAAAGCTACAGTACCACCTGTCCAGTTGTAATCAATTTAGATAAAGCTACAGTACCACCTGTGCAGTTGGAGTCAGTTTAGATAAAGCCACAGTACCACCTGTCCAGTTGGAGTAAGTTTAGATAAAGCTACAGTACCACCTGTCCAGTTGGAGTCAGTTTAGATGAAGCTACAGTACCACCTGTCCAGTTGGAGTCAGTTTAGATGAAGCTACAGTACCACCTGTCCAGTTGTAATCAGTTTAGATAAAGCTACAGTACCACGTGTCCAGTTGTAATCAGTTTAGATAAAGCTACAGTACCACCTGTCCAGTTGTAATCAGTTTAGATAAAGCTACAGTACCACTTGTCCAGTTGGAGGCAGTTTAGATGAAGCTACAGTACAACCTGTCCAGTTGGAGTCAGTTTAGATGAAGCTACAGTACTACCTGTCCAGTTGGAGTCAGTTTAGATAAAGCTACGGTACCACCTGTCCAGTTGTAATCAGTTTAGATAAAGTTACAGTACCACCTGTCCAGTTGTAATCAGTTTAGATAAAGCTACAGTACCACCTGTCCAGTTGGAGTCAGTTTAGATGAAGCTACAGTACCACCTGTCCAGTTGTAATCAGTTTAGATAAAGCTACAGTACCACCTGTCCAGTTGTAATCAGTTTATATAAAGCTACAGTACCACCTGTCCAGTTGGAGTCAGTTTAGATGAAGCTGCAGTACCACCTGTCCAGTTGTAATCAGTTTAGATGAAGCTACAGTACCACCTGTCCAGTTGTAATCAGTTTAGATAAAGCTACAGTACCACCTGTCCAGTTGTAATCAGTTTATATAAAGCTACAGTACCACCTGTCCAGTTGGAGTCAGTTTAGATGAAGCTGCAGTACCACCTGTCCAGTTGTAATCAGTTTAGATAAAGCTACAGGACTACCTGTCCAGTTATAATCAGTTTAGATAAAGCTACAGTACCACCTGTCCAGTTGGAGTCAATTTAGATGAAGCTACAGTACCACCTGTCCAGTTGGAGTCAGTTTAGATAAAGTTACAGTACCACCTGTCCAGTTGGAGTCAGTTTAGATAAAGCTACAGTACTACCTGTCCAGTTGGAGTCAGTTTAGATGAAGCTACAGTACCACCTGTCCAGTTGTAATCCGTTTAGATAAAGCTACAGTACCACCTGTCCAGTTGGAGTCAGTTTAGATAAAGATACAGTACCACCTGTCCAGTTGGAGTCAGTTTAGATGAAGCTACAGTACCACCTGTCCAGTTGTAATCCGTTTAGATAAAGCTACAGTACCACCTGTCCAGTTGGAGTCAGTTTAGATAAAGATACAGTACCACATGTCTAGTTGGAGTCAGTTTAGATAAAGATACAGTACCACCTGTCCAGTTGGAGTCAGTTTAGATAAAGATACAGTACCACCTGTCCAGTTGGAGTCAGTTTAGATAAAGATACAGTACTACCTGTCCAGTTGGAGTCAGTTTAGATGAAGCGAAGGAGACGAAGAGAGAAAACATTTCAATACAATTGAGACACACCTAAGGTTATTACCACTACTCCTTAGCAACTGGACGCTGACCTTCACAACGCTCACTCTCTAGCTCCGACTCGTCTCCTCGCTCTCTCGAGCGGACGGCGCCAGGAGCGTCGCGCGAGCTCGCGAGGGAGCGGTTCGGCGAGCGCGCGTGGGAGCTTCGCTGAGCGCGCGCCCCCGCGCGCGGGACGTCGCCGCGGGGCGGCGCGGGCCGCGGCGGGGAGCGCGGCGGAGCTAGCGGGGCCGCGCCAGCAGGGGAGCGTTGCCACAACACTCGCGGGCGTGCGCGGTCGAGACAAACCCAACACTCGTCGCGCTGCAGAGCGGCGATGCGGGGACGGTGCGGGTCTCGTCCGTAAGAGAACACATCCGAGCTCGTCGCAGCCCACAAAACACACGTCGCGTCTCCTCCCTCTTATCCACTCAGCTCATGATCTCGCGTACTCGCGTCTCTCTTGACGCTCCTCGTCCGCGACATCACAACAAAACAAGCGGTGATAATCTACGAGGAGCGTCGGTAACTCAATATCTGGATGAATCCAGCATCACTAACTCTGCTATCGTCTATCTCTATATCTCTCTCTCTCTATCTCTCTCTCTCTCTATCTCTCTCTCTCTCTCTCTCTCTCTCTCTCTTGTCGGAGTGCATGCTGGGAGTGAGTCGGGAAGCAGGAACGATTGTGTACCTAGGAGAAGAGGGGACTATGGAAAAAAATGTGAATGGAGTGGTTGAAATGGTGGAAGGGAGGAAGAGGAGATGGCGTTGGTTGTTATCTCGTATGTCATACAGGGGGCGCACTATTATTGTTAACAATGTGGTTGCGTCTGCACTGTGGCATTGTTGTCAGTTTTAGAGCCACCATCTGGCCTTCTGGCTAAAATACAGGTGATTATTATAGATTTATTTTGGGATAAATGTCATTGGGTTCCACAAAGTGTTTTGTATTTGTCAAAAGAGGAGGGGGGACAATGTATTGTACATCTTGCTAGTAGGGCTGCTGCTTTGTGGTTGCAGTTTATTCAAAGGTTCCTTTATGGACCGGAAAATGTGGTTTGGAGAGGAGTGACAGGTCTTGTATTACAGCAGGAAGTAATACAAGGTTTAAAGAAGGCTTTATTTTTGGTTGATAGTAGCCAGATTTCTAGGGAGGGAGTACCTCCGTTTTACAGAGGCTTTCTTAGGGTGTGGAGCATAATGAAGGTGTCCAGACGCACTTCAGCGGAGTCAGTGCATTGGCTGCTGGAGGAACCTCTGGTGTATGGGGCAAGACTGGATTGTACAACTGCAGCTGTTCCACATTTCTTCAAGATTCTGGTGAAGGGCAAAATCATCACCCTAAAACAGTTAATGACTATGGCTGGGCCCACCTTAATGGATGGAGGACGGGTGGCTGAACATTTGGGGGTGAGGTCGGAAAGGATTGTCGGACAACTGCTGGGAAGCTGCAGGAAGGCTCTGTCAGCAGAAGAGTGGGTTATGCTTAATAGTCACAAGAAGAAGGTACAAGATGAAAACATCCCATTTCCAAGACTAGGGATTACACCCAATATCCCAGAGTCAGAAAGAAAGGCGTTATTACTGGATTTGAGAGGGTTGGAGGAGGTGGGTTTGGATGAGGTGAATGGGAAAGACTTTTGTAGGGGGGGTTTCAAGATTTTGAATAAAGATACATTGAAAAATAGAAAAGACACTCCTTGGAGGGTAAAATTGGGCATTGATGACAAGGTAAAGCTAGCATGGAGAGTTCTGTACAAGCCACCGTTAAAAAAGGGCACTGGTGATATGCAATGGAGGGTTTTGCATGGCATCATTGCAGTTAATGCTTTTGTATCTGTTATTAACTCAGATGTTGGAGATGGATAAGTAAAACAATTTTTCACTGTTTTATGGAGTGTGAGAGGATAAAGCCTCTCTTTATTTACAGCTGTAGCAGGGATGTTCAATAACACTGTTTTTATTTTGGGGTTTCAATATAGTAAGCAACAGAAAAGAAAATGTAAACTGTTACATTTTATTTTGGAACAAGCTAGGAAACATATGGGCAGGATGTATGATGTGTTTTTAAAGGATTAGTCAAAGCGAGAATAAAAGTGGATTTTGAGTTCTTCTCAGCTGTAAAAGATCTCCCATTGTTTGAGGAGAAGTGGGCTTATTGTCACGATCGTTCAAGGAAGTGACGGACCAAGGCGCAGCGTGGTAAGCGTACATTTTATTTGTACTCAACACACGATCAAAACAACAAACCAAACGATACGTGAAGTCTTAGGTTAACACCAAAACAAACATTACGGAACAAGATCCCACAAATAACTAGTGCCAACAGGCTGCCTAAGTATGGTTCCCAATCAGAGACAACAAGCTACAGCTGCCTCTGATTGGGAACCACCCTGGCCAACATAGATATACATGATCTAGATCATGAACATAGAAAATAAAACATAGACACTACACACCCTGGCTCAACTTTTAAGAGTCCCCAGAGCCAGGGCGTGACAGTACCCCCCCCCCCCCCCCAAAGGCGCGGACTGCGACCGCGCCAACCAAACACAAGAGGGTAGGGGCCGGGTGGGCATTCCGCCTCGGAGGCGGATCCGGCTCCGGGCGTGACCACCACTCTCTCTCTACCCCCCCCGTAATGCCCCTGGTCTGGTCTGGCCCCGCTGGCCGGAGCTGGACTGGACATCGGTGGAGCGGATTGCTCTGGCTCCGGTGTGGAGCAGCTGACCGGTGCCGGACCAGGCACCGGTGGAACAGGCATGGACTGTGCCGGACTGACGACGCGCACCACTGGCTTGGTGCGGGGAGTAGGAACGGGCCGGACCGGGCTGACGACGCGCACCACTGGCTTGGTGCGGGGAGCAGGAACGGGCCGGACCGGGCTGACGACGCGCACCACTGGCTTGGTGCGGGGTGCAGGAACGGGCCGGACCGGGCTGGCGACGCGCACCACTGGCTTGGTGCGGGGAGCAGGAACGGGCCGGACCGGGCTGGCGACGCGCACCACTGGCTTGGTGCGGGGAGCAGGAACGGGCCGGACCGGGCTGGCGACGCGCACCACTGGCTTGGTGCGGGGAGCAGGAACGGGCCGGACCGGGCTGACGACGCGCACCACTGGCTTGGTGCGGGGAGCAGGAACGGGCCGGACCGGGCTGACGACGCGCACCACTGGCTTGGTGCGGGGAGCAGGAACGGGCCGGACCGGGCTGACGACACGCACCACTGGCTTGGTGCGGGGAGCAGGAACGGGCCGGGCCGGACTGGGAACACGCACCACTGGCTTAGTGCGAGGAGCAGGAACGGGTCGGGCCGTACTGGGAACACGCACCACTAACTTAGTGCGGGGAGCAGGAACGGGCCGGACCGGGCTGGCGACGCGCACCACTGGCTTGGTGCGGGGGAGCAGGAACGGGCCGGACCGGGCTGACGACGCGCACCACTGGCTTGGTGCGGGGAGCAGGAACGGGCCGGACCGGGCTGACGACGCGCACCACTGGCTTGGTGCGGGGAGCAGGAACGGGCCGGACCGGGCTGACGACACGCACCACTGGCTTGGTGCGGGGAGCAGGAACGGGCCGGGCCGGACTGGGAACACGCACCACTGGCTTAGTGCGAGGAGCAGGAACGGGTCGGGCCGTACTGGGAACACGCACCACTAACTTAGTGCGGGGAGCAGGAACGGGTTGGGCCGTACTGGGAACACGCACCACTAACTTAGTGCGGGGAGCAGGAACGGGCCGGACCGTACTGGGAACACACACCACTGGCCTTGTGCGGGAAGCAGGAATGGGTCGGGCCGTACTGGGAACACGCACCACTGGCTTAGTGCGGGGATCAGGAACGGGCCGGATCGGACTGGTGACACACACCACTTGCTTGGTGCGAGGAGCGGGACTGGGTTTCCTTATAAACCTCCGCTCCCTCTGCTGCCTAACCAGTTCCTCTCGCCGTGCCTCTACACTCTCCTTCTCCCTTATTGCCTCCAGTAGCTCCTCCCTCTGACCAATTAACTCCTGCTCCCTCATGACCAATAGCCCCCGTAACCTGGTGGCCTCCTATTCTGCAGATTTGCCCTGTAGCTGCCTCCTGCTGCCCAGTCATCCACGCCGTGTGCCCCCCCCAAACATTTTCTTGGGGTTGCCTCTCGCGTGTCCGTCGTCGGCACGGTTGACGCCATTTCTCCTCTCCTACCTGGGCCTCCTCATTCATCGCCCTCCGGTAACGGACGGCCTCCTCCTCCGTGATTCTCCCCCAACCGAGGAGGACATCTACCAACGTTACCTCATGTCTAGTTCCCGGCGTTAGCTCCTGAACACGCTGCTTGGTCCTATTTTGGTGGGATCTTCTGTCACGATCGTTCAAGGAAGTGACGGACCAAGGCGCAGCGTGGTAAGCGTACCTTTTATTTGTACTCAACACACGATCAAAACAACAAACCAAACGATACGTGAAGTCCTAGGTTAACACCAAAACAAACCTTACGGAACAAGATCCCACAAATAACTAGTGCCAACAGGCTGCCTAAGTATGGTTCCCAATCAGAGACAACAAGCTACAGCTGCCTCTGATTGGGAACCACCCTGGCCAACATAGATATACATGATCTAGATCATGAACATAGAAAATACAACATAGACACTACACACCCTGGCTCAACTTTTAAGAGTCCCCAGAGCCAGGGCGTGACACTTATGAAGGAGCGGTTTGTTTTGTGGAGGAGGGGAATCTATTTTTTTAAAAAGAAATCAGTTGAATGTGTGTATATGCTTTTTTATTTTTATTTAATTTATTTGTATGTTTTCATTTTTATTTAGGATTGACACATTCGTTGTTTCATTTCTGAAAAGGCACAGTGTGCCATTATTTGTGTTAATACTAGAGTATAAAATAAAGGTATCTCTCTCAATTCAATTTTTCAATTTAAGGGCTTTAGTGGCATGGGAAACTTATGTTAACATTGTCAAAGCAAGTGAAGTAGATATTAAACAAAAGTGAAATAAACAATAAATATTAACAGTAAGCGTTACACTCTGAAGTTCCAAAAGAATAAAGACATTTCAAATGTCATATTATGTCTATATACAGTGTTGTAACAATGTGCAAATTGTTAAAGTACAAATGGGAAAATAAATAGGTCACAAATCTTGCTGCTGTGTAAGGGAGTTTATCAAAATTGGGTTTGTTTTCGATATTCTCTCTCTCTCTCAAGGAAATAGGAAAATAATAGTTCTTAATAAGAATAATGTCATATTTCTAAGACCACGTCTTTACGTAACAAACTGATAAAGACTAAAGACATAAAGTCCATTTGCGCTGAGCAGAGGGCGGCCTCTAAGAACATTTCAATTTCTATGTTCATATTACTTTCTTATAACTTTTTCTGTCTGCCTCATCCATTTTTCATAATTTGAATGAAGTTAAGATTTTGTAAGGAGCTGTCTTTTTTATTCCTTCAGTAGATGGATTTCATGCTTATGCAAGCTGGTTTGAATGCTAATTCTGGATTTTAAGTAGGCTCTACAACAGCATGGACTCAAATGCCTTTTGAATGATCAAGTGGAGAAAGTCATTTTAGTGTACAAAAGCCAAAGTCCCAAAACTGCTGATACTGGGGTGTTTTTTTGATATAGTCAGTTTTGTACATTTTTTAAATTAGGATGGAGTGTAGCCTACTGTATGGGCTCTGTCATATACAGTAATGGTTTCTGTCAAACAGATGAGACCACTGATATTGTCTGTCTGTCTGTCTGTCTGTCTGTCTGTCTGCCCATACTCCCCAAACCCACCTGATATAACCCTCTGATGATTACTGCAGGACCATGTTTTTATGTGTCCTTCAAGAACATTGATTTGTAGCCTTCACTTTGAATGAAAAGCTTGAAAAGTGGTTAAAAACAGTCGAAATGACTGGACTGCAATAGATTCTGTCCAAAAGTCTAATGCTCACCTTTGTAACACAGCTACCTTGTTATTCTGCCCATTCAAAAATATTCTCTATTTGCTCAAAGTAAGTATTTGTAAAAAATGGCTGTGTTGGTTTTGTTCCAGAGCGGTTCAACGTGTACCTGATGCCCACTCCCAACCTGGATATCTATGGGGAGTGTACAATGCAGATCACCCATGAGAACATCTACCTGTGGGACATCCACAACGCCCGCGTCAAACTGGTCATGTGGCCCCTCAACTCACTGAGGAGATACGGACGAGACTCCACTTGGTTCACTTTCGAGTCAGGAAGGTATGTTTGTGTGTGTGTGTGTGAGAGAGAATCCATCAGGTTCACCTATGAGACAGAAAGGTATACTCACAGTGACACATGGTCACCTGCTTATCTGCTTCATAGGAGTCCCTTTCACATCTCTCCTGGAGCTGACCCTAACCCATTAACATCTCTCCTGGATCTGACCCTAACCCTAACCCATTCACATCTCTCCTGGATCTGACCCTAACCCTAACCCATTCACATCTCTCCTGGAGCTGACCCTAACCCATTAACATCTCTCCTGGATCTGACCCTAACCCTAACCCATTCACATCTCTCCTGGATCTGACCCTAACCCTAACCCATTCACATCTCTCCTGGATCTGACCCTAACCCTAACCCATTCATATCTCTCCTGGATCTGACCCTAACCCTAACCCATTCACATCTCTGCTGGATCTGACCCTAACCCTAACCCATTCACATCTCTCCTGGATCTGACCCTAACCCTAACCCATTCACATCTCTCCTGGATCTGACCCTAACCCTAACCCATTCATATCTCTCCTGGATCTGACCCTAACCCTAACCCATTCACATCTCTCCTGGATCTGACCCTAACCTATTCACATCTCTCCTGGATCTGACCCTAACCCTAACCCATTCACCTCTCCTGGATCTGACCCTAACCCATTCACATCTCTCCTGGATCTGACCCTAACCTATTCACATCTCTCCTGGATCTGACCCTAACCCATTCACATATCTCCTGGATCTGACCCTAACCCTAACCCATTCACCTCTCCTGGATCTGACCCTAACCCATTCACATCTCTCCTGGATCTGACCCTAACCCATTCACATCTCTCCTGGATCTGACCCTAACCCTAACTCATTCACATCTCTCCTGGATCTGATCCTAACCCTAACCCATTCACATCTCTCCTGGATCTGACCCTAACCCTAACCCATTCACATCTCTCCTGGATCTGACCCTAACCCATTCACATTTCTCCTGGATCTGGGACCGGTTTATCAGCAGGAGAGGAAAACTGGTCCCATGGGTCCTGATAAACAACACACACACACGCACATATGCACACACGAACACACACACACAGAGTTACATTGGGAATAGTCAAAACTTTTTCAAAGGAAGTTTGAACTCCTCTAAACATGCCAGCATATCCACATGTGCCACCCCCTTCAGGCTATGAGATGACAAGGTGTATCTGCTTTCTGTAGGCATATCTGTACCTCACTGTTTCTTTGCGTGTTCTAACCTGTGTGTATGTATCTGTAATAAAACTCTCTCTCCCCCCTCTCTCTCTCTTCTCTCTTCCCATCCCTCCCTCCTCCCCCCCTTCTCTAGGATGTGTGACACGGGGGAGGGTCTGTTTACGTTCCAGACGCGGGAGGGAGAGATGATCTACCAGAGAGTCCACTCAGCCACCCTGTCCATCGCACAGCAACATGAGAGGATGTTGGTGGAGATGAAGAAGAGCTCACAGGTAACACACACAGACACACATAGTACACACACACACACACATAAACATTCCCTGTGGATATGGCCTATGTTTCCTTCCCGCCTTCCTTATTTTCTCTCTCTATGGTCAGTATGCTGTATTTACGTATGGTTGGCTAGGGGTTGATGAGCCCTGGCCATATGGCCATGTTCCTGGACACCCTCCATATGGGAACACTTCCAAATACTGCAGTGTATACTGAAATACATTAATTACATGAAGAGGTTGTGGAACACAGTGGACACTTTGGTTATGGGTCATCATACCACAAATATGACTTTTAAGTTCTAAAGAGATGTACTTGATATAATTGAAAGAGAAAAGTGCAGTCACTATAGTTTAAAACACCAGTTTGGCTTGGTTTTGAGATTAATTTCATATCATGATATTGATAAAATGTGAATTTGTACTGCATGTCATTTGTCCACAATATGCAGTAGCTACCTGTAATGCCTGTGGCTGTTTTTCTTACTTTGCATTCCCTAGAGGTGACTATGCCCAGAGATAACAATTGCATCCCAAATTGCACCCTAATCCCTATCAAAAGTAGTGGTCAAAAGTAGTGCACTATATAGAGAATCGGGTGTCATTTGGGACGCAACCAACATACTGAAGATGATGTTGTTGTTGTCTCTGTTTCAGACCCACTCCAACCAGACAACGTTAACCAAGTCCATCTCTCTGCCTCGCAGTGCCTACTGGCATCACATAATGCGTCAGAACAGCGTGGGAGACATCTACAGCTACCAAGGTACGCACAGCAGAGCTCAGCTAGGCAGCCCAAAAGCAAATATTATCTGAACACGCTCACACACACGCACGCAGGCACACATGTTACCAGTAATGCTACCTGCTGGTAATATTATCAGTAATATTCAATACCCCTGTAGTTCAACAGGACAGTATACATGTATCATCATCTGCAACTCTTATGACAACCAGTGAATTTATGTCAATGAGATGAGCAAACAGGTTAATGGTTGTTAATGGTTGTTCCCACAATGGCAAAGCTTTAAAACACGGCTAATAATGCATTGACATGGTTTATTGGAGGATCACAATATGACATGTCAGCCATACAACATAATCATCATGCAGTAGCTCATCTGCACCATCGAGAGCATCTTGACTGGCTGCATACCTGCTGGGTATGGCAACTGCTTGGCAATCGACCGCAAGGCTCTATAGAGGGTAGTGCGTACGGCCCAGTACATCACTGGGGCCGAGCTCCCTGCCATCCAGGACCTCTATACCAGGCGGTGTCAGAAGAAGGCCCAAAGAATTGTCAAAGACTCCAGCCACCCAAGCCACAGAATGTTCTCACTTGGTACCGCACGGCAAGCGGTACCAATGCACCAAGTCTGGAACTAACAGGACCATGAACAGCTTCTACCCCCAAGCCATAAGACCTAAACAAGACTACTAAATAGCTAATCAAATGGCTACCCGGACTACCTGCATTGACAATATTTTGCACTGATTCTATGCACACACACCGGACTCTACCCACACACTCACACATAATTACATTGACACCCAAACACACACACGCACACTACATACGCCCACACACACATAACATGCACACATATGCATACTGACGCCACACACACTTTCACACTCCACTGCTGCTACTGTCTATTATCTATCCTGTTGCCTAGTTACTTTACCCCTACCTATATGTACAGTACATATTACCTTGTACCCCTGCACATCGACTCGGTACTGGTACTCCCTGTATATAGCCATGTTATTTTCTACTCCCTATAAATAGCCATGTTATTTCCTACTCCCTATATATAGCCAAATTACTTTTACTCATTATTTCTATTCGTTATTCTCTGTGTATTTAATACTCGTGTCACGACTTCCTCCGAAGCTGCCTCCTCTCCTTGTTCGGGCAGGCTTCGGCGTTCGTCGTCACCGGCCTTCTAGCCACTGCCGCTCCTCATCTCATCATTCCATTTGTTTTGTCTTGTTTATTACACACACATGGTTAATATCCCCTCATCAGTACCTGTATAAGTGTTCCCTCTGCCCCCTTGTCTTTGTGTGTGATTGTTTATTGTGGAGGTTAGATTAGCTCGGTGGAGCTCCTTGTATTTTGTATCACCGGGATATTCCCTGTGTGCCTTGTTGTTTCCCAGTGCGCCTGATTCACGCATTGGAGTGTTTGACGCATTGCTGTGTACCACTGTGTTTTCGGAATAAACCCTTTTATTCTGTGATTTACCCTCCTGCGCCTGACTCCTTCAAAATCACTCACCACAACTCATGTCACTTTTTCAATATTTTATTAAGTGTTTTATCTTATCTTTAACTCTGCATTGTTGGAAAAGGACCCGTAAGTAAGCATTTCACTGTTAGTCTACACCTGTTGTCTGCGTAGAATGTGACAAATACAATTTGATTTGATTTTATCAATATGGAAATCATTAGGGATAATACTTTCAAGCACATTTTCTCTCCGCGGTTTTCCTCTTACCCATGCAAACAATTCTACCAAGCATTTTATTCCTGCCGCAAGTTTCTTCTCCATTTGGAAAGCCGCAGCACTTATGCTCCCAACTCAGGGCTCTGCTCCTTTTGCAACAACAGGGTTCTCTTATGAGACTGCATATTGTTCTCAAGCCAGTGCCAAGCCACCAACAGCAACGCTTTCTATTACGTCCTCCGCCGTCTTCTCCTTTCCTAAGACTACATTCTGCATTTTTTTGTACGGTTCATACGGCCTTGTTCAGCCATGATCATAGTTACACAATTCTTCCCGGCAAGTGTTTGAAATGGCTCGTCTTCAGACATCTCCTCTAGTTCTACAGCATCTGCCACATGGGATATATCAGACATTCATAGCACGGACTGTGTGAACAGTCCATGAAGTAATGAAGTATGAAGTAATCCATCTTCTCTATTTCAAATCTTCTCTTATTGATCGAGACAGTGTCATCATGACATGCGGCACTTTAGGGTGGACCCACCTGTCTCAATCAATAAGATTTGAAATAGACAAGATGGCGGCGTACACATTGTTGGATTACTTCATAAAGCAAAACAAGTATTTATTTTAATAAGGGGGGATTTTCTCAATTCAAATGACCCCCTGCAACTGGACAAGGACATTTTCGAAGATACTGTACATGTTTGGCCGAATTCGAGAACGAAGATAGTATCGCCAAAACCAAGTTAGTTCAAAAATCTATGGCAATGTTTTGTATAGGCAAACCTGTAGCACCCAATAATGGATTCAAAAAATATTTGTTTATATCACATTATCTGGTTTACAATGTGTAGTTAAGACATATGTAATAACCATTTCAAGTCACTATGTAAGGTTGCTTTACAGTTCAATAGATAAACAGATCTGGGAAATTGAGGAGACACTGGTTAAAGACTTGTTAAAGGCAGACTTGGCTCTTTTGGTTGATGGCTGTCAGGGATGTGGTTTCTGGACTAAGGTGTCTCTCTGCCTTCTTGAGCCATGTTTTATCCTCACTTTGCTGGTAACACCAATTACACACCTCTGCCACACCTCTCTCATCTTGAGCCTGTTTTCAATGTTGAAACTTGAACTATGGGGCATCCCCCACCCCAAGCATAGGACCTCAACATTCTCCTGGATGACTCTATGCACACAACATGAGATCACTAAACACACATGCATCTCTATACACACATACTGTACATACATGTGCATGCAAACACGCACACACTTTTTGCAATTCATAAATCAGTGGAGTATTGGAGCATTTGGACCAGATTCCCTGGGTCTCACTTTGCCAATGATTAATCTATAGTATAATAATGTGATAAAACAGCAAAATAACCGCATTATTATCGATAACGAGGTGAGATATGTAAGATGACGTATATGGACCAGACTAGCCCCCTGTGTTTCAGTGGGCCCGTAATTATCATATAATATAGCAAGCCTATGATAACCATATAATACCATTATTATAACTATATTAAAACTGTATATTAACTGTGTATGGGCTGACTTGGGTGTAAGTGGAGGTGAGAGATGCTAGATAGAACGTGTGGACCAGACTAGCCCCCTGTGTGTCACTGTACCTGTGATTAATCTATAATAAAACCTATGATTAAAAAAATACTATATAATAACAGTGCAGTGACTATATTAATACTGGATATGGGCTGTTTTGGGTGTGAGTGGAGGTGAGAGTGTTAGACTAGCCCCCTATGTGTCACTGTGCCGTGATGAATCTGCAATCAGCACGCTTAATTGGCTGAGTCATGGTCGGGTTGTGTTAAATACCCACGAGTCCTCTGGAATAATTAAGGAACACTGGTTCTTGTCCCATACAGCTCTGCTGCTTTGCTATATGTTTATTTATTTATTTTTATCTCTCATTCAGTTAATCAGAGAACCAGAAGTAAATTAGTTGCGTTTTGTGTGTGTGTGAAAGTTTCTGTTTAGACTTTGACACTTGGGCTGAAATGTTAGAGACTTCTAGGAAAGTTTTGGTTTGCTTGCAAATTAAATGGGTACAGGCAAGATAGCAGTGCAAACTGTATGAATATAAGCCATACACTTATAATCCATACACTTATTTGAACCATTTCAATAAAGGTGAGATACAGAGAGAAACTGCATTAAAGGTCCAATGCAGCCATTTGGACGACAAGAAACAAAAATAGCTTCTTAGCAAAGAGCAATTTCTCTTTGAAATAAATGATCTCACTCCAATACATTTTAATAGAAAGTTAGCAAAAATTGATAAGATCTTGTTACCATGGATACCAAGGTAAATACCTGTCAATTTGTGGGAAAATCACCCTGATTAACTCTTTAGTAAATATAATAATAATATGCCATTTAGCAGACGCTTTTATCCAAAGCGACTTACAGTCATACGTGCATACATTTTTTTTTTGTGTATGGGTGGTCCCGGGGATCGAACCCACTACCTTGGCGTTACAAGCGCCGTGCTCTACCAGCTGAGCTACAGAGGACCACGATAACTAGTATTATCCCAGTTTACCTATTTGCTTATGGTCTTGCATACGCCTAGCGAACAGTTTTTTAAATTATATGAGAAAAGAATATTCAATTTTATTTGGAACGGCAAGCCAGACAAAATTAAACAGACCTATTTATATAATGAATATGAATTCGGAGGACAGAAATGATTAAATGTTAAAGCATTAGACCTATCACTAAAAGCTTCAGTCATACAAAAGTTATACTTAAATCCGAACTGGTTCTCTAGCAAATTAGTAAAATTGTCTCACCCAATGTTCAAGAATGGCCTTTTTCCCTTTATTCAGATTACAACCTCTCACTTTCAGTTATTTGAAAAGGAAATAATCTCCCAAATATCACTATTTCTAAAACAAGCCATAGAAAGTTGGTTGCAATTTCAATTTAATCCTCCAGAATCGACAGAACAAATAATGCAACAAATATTGTGGTTAAACTCAAATATACTAATTGATAAAAAAAACATGATTTTTTGAAAGAATGTTTAAAAAAGGTATAATCTTCGTAAATTATATCATAGGTACGACTGTCGCACATGCAGCTAACAAAAACAAATGGAAATGTCTGCTCTAACCAAAATTACAACCAAATAATTGCAGCATTACCACAAAAATGGAAGAGGAAAGTGGAAAGGGGAAAAAGTAAGGAACTTGTCTGTCGGCCCTGCATTAAAGAACATAATTGGTTAAAGACAATTGTGATAAATGAAAAAGTATACCAGTTTCATTTAAGGACCAAATGATTGACA